TTGTTGAGGATTTACAAATGACTATTACGATCTGTATTTGACAGTTTGGCAGGTGAAAGATTAAGAAAAAACTTGACCAAGGATTCAAACTACTAACAAAACACCAAAAACCATTTTTATGCAGCACTGTTATTTGAAGCCAAGTCTGTCTGACCAAGAGCCCTGCTCTTCTTGGACTGTGTGTTGGTTGTATTTCCAGCCAGCCAGCCAGCCAGCCAGCAAATACTTAGTGCCTGTGTGTGCCAGGCAGTGGTCCAGGGGCTAGAAATGCAGTTAAGAACAAAGCAGACAAACTTACTGCCTTTATGTAGTTTGCATTTTAGTTGGAGAAACAGATAGCACACATATTAGATGATCAGAGATGCTATGGAGAAAAATGAATGAAGAAAAAAGAGCAGGGGTGGAGAGAGGGGTGGTTTTGAACGGGCCAGTCAGGGAAGGACTTGGCCTGAGTCTCCTTTGCTTGTGGGAGGGTATCAGGCACAGGGAACAGCGCCGCCCCCACCCCCAAGGGAGAGCCCCGCCTAGAGATCGAGCAGCCATCAGATCCAGAGCCCAGTGACCGGGCTGGGAAGTGCAGAGTGTGTTTGTGGTGGGTGGGGCTGGGAGAGTCACAGGGAGAGGGGTTGCCGGAGTGACCTGCCTGGTGAGGTGGGAAAGCAGTGAGAACAGGCCAGATTCTGGACTCATTCTCAAGGGAAAGTCAGGATTTGCTGATGAGCTGGGTGTGGCATGTGTGCAGTAGAAGAAAAAGAATGACCTCTGAATAGAGAAAACGTGTACACTTACTCCCATTTTACAGACTGGAAAACTGAGGTTGGGAGAGGATAAGTGAAAGGTGCCAAGGTCATTTAGCTAGACAGTCTGTAAAGCTAGGGTATTTGCCCAAGTGTTTGTGTTCCACACCGCTTAGGCTTTCACTGCAGGCCTCCTGCCGTACCTCACTCACCCACTGGAAGACTAAGTCAGCTGACCCCACCTGGCCCCCTAGAACTGTCTTGTTTCTGCAGTGATTAGTGAACATTAATCTGCACTGTGGAAACCGTCACTTTGGAAACTTTCTCAGGGTGCAGCTCAATCAGAGATAGTTCTCTAAGTGTTTATGAAAACTCAGATCATTCAGTAGATGAAGGTCCAGATTTCCAGACAATTTGATCCTGCTACTTCCTGTGGAGGTGTAGCATTTTTTCAATGGAATCCCTTTCTCATTAGACTCCTGTAAATTGTGAGTTAGTGCGTTGTCACCACTGGCTTCCCCAAACTGATTTCCGTGGCAACAGCTAGATCAAATGGTAAAGACTTCTCCCTGGAAAACGATGTTCAGTGGGTTTTGGAGGGAAAAGTGTCATTTTCAGGGCTTTGCTGTGGGCAGGAGGCCCAGGTACCTTTCATTTCCTGCATTTCCCTCCTTTTGGCTCAGTAGCCATGGCTGAAAAATGATGGGAGGAATGCCATTGGTGCCAGGCTGTGCCAGATCAGTGTTGGCGGATGTGCAGATTCCTGCCGCTTCGGGCCTCCTTAAAGACCAAGAGTTTGCATGCATCTTCCTTACGCAGGAGCGTTTGAACTTTTCAGCCGTTAGCCGAGGTAGCTGTTGGGCACGGTAGTCGAGCGGCTGCTCCAGGGTCTCTGGTTAGAGAAGGCTTGGAGCTTTAGTGGTATTCTTTTTTGTTTTGTTTTGTTTTGTTTTGTTTTGGGTTTTGTTTTTTGTAGGCAAATAAGAAAGACTCACGCATGTACAAAAAGCTTCTATTTGCTTCCTCAAGACTTTCTCCCTCCACCCCCTCTCCCCCAAATATACACACCACACCCTAGGCTGGGTGACCTCATGTTTTCTGCCTGCAACCACTCTGACCTCAGCATAGGGGGCCCAGGTACCACGCAGTATCCAGGCTCTTACAGAGCTCACGCACACTTCTCAGACAAAGCGGCCTTTCTCCAGGGCCTCACTCAAAGCCACCAGCACTAGGCAACAGACACACCTCTGGCATCACACTCCAGAGGGAAGCCGCGTGAGACAGAAACCCTGCTATGTGGCCATGCCTCCCACTGGGGACAGACGCACACTCATGTGCACACGCACACCCACAGCTGGCTGCCCACTGCCCACCTCTCCACATTCCCTTTGCCTGGACCACCTGCACTGACACGAGCCAGGCGCTGCCTCTCTTCCATGGTGAATCAGCCAGCAAGCTCGCAGTCTGCCAGGGGTCTGAAGAGTTTCCATTTGCTTCTAGACTTTGTGCTCAGCTCCAGGGACATTCCGCCCCTGTATTGTTCATCTTTGAGGCAGCTCGTATGTTTCTCTCTCAGATACAGACCCTGATCTTCCCTGAATGAGACTGAGCATGGCAACAGCGAGGGGATGTGACATGAGGGAGGGTGGCTGGAGCCCAGGAACTCTGTCCTCACCGCAGAGGTGTCCTCTGATTCCAAGCTCACTTCCCTGACATCCAGTGCACTGTCCCACGCATGGGGAGACGGTCTACCATCTGGTATCCTAACTGGGACAGAGATACTCAGACCAATGGCTATGACTCACCACATACCTAGGGTCATAAAAGTAAGCTGGAGGAAGGCCTGTGGAGCAGCTGGCCCCACCTGGGCTCACAAGAGGGGGGCTTTGAAGAAGAGGAGGCTACAGCTGGGTTGTAGGGGCTTCCCGAGGATAGATGGGCACCCAAGCCATAGGAAATCATGGGTAAGCCCGAGCCCTTGTAGAGACCTGGTATGTCAGGCATCGTTGAGAGGGGCTCTGTCTGGCGCTCAGGCACACAGGATGGGCATCAAGGAGTGGGGGGCACCTTGTGAAAGAGGCGCTCATCCTCTGTCTCCCTGCATCTCCTTAGTTTCCTTTACTTGGCTTGAATTCATCATTTTAATCGTAGTCCTGTCTGTGCACGGTAAGGAAAACTTGAGAATCTGATGCACATAATATGATCTTAGAACTAATTTTCATGATGTTGATCACCACCCATTGTCACAAATCTTTTTCAGTAATTATCATTATTTTAGTGTAAGAAATCTAGGCTCAGTTTACACAGTGTGTTGCTTTTATTTTATTTTTCAATTTTTGTTTTTAGAGAGTGTGCGTGCAAGTGGAGTGGGAGGAGGGGCAGAGGGCGAGGGAGGCAGAGACTCCTAAGCAGGCTCCACGCCCAGCACAGAGCCTGAAGTGGGGCTTGATCTCATGATCCTGAGATCATGACCTGAGCCAAAATCCAGAGTCAGACACTTAACCAACTGAGCCACCCAGGTGCTCCCAGAGTGTGTTTCTTTTAAAAAGTTGTTCACGACAGCAGCCTGGCTGAAATGACAGGAGGGAAGCCATGGGGCCCTGTATGCCGAGGTCGGGGCCATGGTCTGGGGCTGGACGGCTCTGTGGAGTACCTGCAGCGCAGCTCGTCCCCATGGGATGGGCTGCAAATGTAAAAGGCATGCCAGGTTTGAAGACTTAGTACAAAATGAGGAATAGAAGTATTTCATTTAAAAAAAAAAAAAAGTTGCATAGTTGAGAAAGAAGACCTGTCCCCTGATGGTAGTTCCTAGAAATCCAGATTAGCAAGTCCTTGCAAAAGGCAAGAGCAGACAGCACTCTCCCACTGTGATCTCACACTGGCCTTCTTCCTTCCCACTGGCTTCTTTGACTTTGCTTTGGGATTTTCCAAGTCATCATTGACTTCACCGTCTCTTTTGCTCTGTCGTCAGCTCCACCTGCACAAACAGCATCCTTGACTTTCAGTTCTCCTCGCCATTCCCCTGATGCGGCACCTGGGTACCACTCTCCAGCTACCCCACTGTTTCCCCCGAGGGTTTCCGGGGCCTGGTGTCTGTCCCCAGCCCCTCCCTCACGCTGCTGTGGCGGAGCCCTCCTCCTCCAGCGGGGCTCCCATCACATGAGTTGCCATCATCACCAAATCCTCTTTTAGTGAGTCCCAACCATGAATCAAGGATGCTAGGAACTTGCCACACATCACCTCACCTCATTCTCCAAAGAGAAAGAAAATAATTTGTACAACAGGAGGAGGAAACTCCAAGAGAGGAAGTTGCTGGGTCCCATGCCTGTAGAGGGGCAGGGCTAGAATTCAGACCAGGCTCTGGGACTCTAAAACCCATTCTGAAGTGTCAGTGTCTTCAAAACCTGTTGCTTCCTACTCAGAAAGCTGAAGGAGCCACCCACTGCTTACTGTGGACCCTTGAGGCACCCGCATCCCCCACCTTGCTTTTCAAGTCTCATCTTGCACTGGATTGATGGGTGTCCATGCACCACATGCTTTGGATCCAGCCACATTTTGTTTTCAATCAAGAGCCATCTCAGTATCTTAACAAGCCAGCTGCTATCCCAGAGGCTCTCCCTGTCTTCTTCACAAGGAGTGTTCTTCCCTTTATAATTCCCTCTGCTGGATGACAAATTAGCCTTGGTGAGAGTAGCCCACTGTCCCCAGAAGGAGACATCTCAATGCCAAGGTGGGCAGTCCAGAATGCCGCAACCACCCTTTAAAGATCTTTCTCTCTTCTTTGGCAAAGGTCCTGTGTCATGCCTGACCCCGGTATTATAAATTCCAACCTCTTTATGTCATGGACACCTGGAGAGAATGACTGCGTGTTTTCACTTAGGACGCTACCAACGCAGGACTTAGAAATATGATCTGCATTTATATATTCTGTGTCCACCGTGGAGCACACATTGCCAGCCACATCACACCTAGTTTACTCAGTATCCTAAGTGACAGAATAATGCTGTGGGTTAACATCGGCAGTATTCTCTGAGATGCTCTCCTTCCCGCTCACTGTAAACTCAACCCCGGCTCCTCGCACAACTGCTACCTTTGGATCGATAGAGCTGAGGGAGTTTTCTAATGATTTCTTATTCTGGGTAAGACAAAAGTGATTGCTTCCCCTTAGGGGTATGTTCTAAAAGGTGATTTATTTTGTCACTAAATTTTTTGTTGTTGTTAGCTGTGTCCTTTTAACCATAAACCTCGTTGTTTCTTTTTTAGTCTCTTCAGATGGAGGTACTGAGTCCACAGCCTTAGTGGATGACAACGGCAGTGAGGAGGACTATAGCTATGAAGACCTGTGTCAGGCCAACCCCAGATACCTACAGCCAGGCGGGGAGCAGCTGGCCATCAACGAGGTACTCAAGTCACACTCAGCAGGGGCAAATCTTGGATACCCAGTTTTCAGGGTGTTGAATCACTTCAGAGTTTGCCCTCTTGCTTCTTTCTTTTTCTTTCTCTCTCTCTCTTTTTAAAAAAGATTTATTAGAGCGAGCGAGCACGTGTGGGGAGAGGGGCAGAAGGAGAGAATCTCAAGCACACTCCCCACCACTGAGTGTGGAGCCCAACATGGGGCTCAGTTCCATAACCCTGAGATCATGACCTGAGCCGGACGCCTAGCTGACTGAGCCACCCACGCACCCCCTCTTGATTATCTCTTACCAAACATATTCTAACACCTTGAACTCTGACATTCTAGCACTTCTGAGGACAGTTTATGTGACTGAGTTTTCCAGATAACTATGCTCGTCACCATTCTAAGTAGAAGAGCAGCAACTGCTGCTTGGTGTTCGGGTAGCGCTTTTCAGCTTACAAAATGCTCTTCCTAACGTTATCTCGGAAAGATCTCACAGCCAGTCCAAGAGGTAGATGTTATAATTATTACCCATATTTTAACAAACATTGAAGCTAAGAGGCCACGTCATTTGCTCATAAATGGCAGAGCTGAAATTAACCACGTATTTCTCACTACAGATCTGGAGTTCTTTCCACCTCTTTGCGTCTTCACCCCTTTTATGGAAATCTTTCCAGAAGGCACTTACCAGCTTTTGGCATTCTTGATTAGAACCTGTGGAGTGTCCGTTCTCAGTGACCTAGCATTTCCATTAGTAATACCCGCTGTTCCTGTAGAGTGTGACGATGTCCCCGGGGCCTGAGGGGACCTGCAGCCCCCCACCCATGGCTGACTGACAGACGAGCTGTGTCTGTGCTTTCCTTTTTAAAGGAATCTGCAAAGACTCTGGAGATCAAGCTGGTTCTCTTTAATGGTCGTGGACTATAAAGTTAGACTAACAGTTTATTCAGACAGTGAATGAAGTCTGACAGCCAGAGATCACAAGCAGGCAGAGAGGCAGACAGAGGAGGTGGGGGAAGAAGGCTCCCTGCTGAGCAGAGAGCCCGATGTGGGGCTCGATCCCACGACCCTGAGATCATGACCCGAGCCGAAGGCAGAGGCTTAAGCCACTGAGCCACCCAGGCATCCCAGACTGTGAATGAAGTCTGAGGAGTAAGTCCTGAGGGTCTTGCAGTCAAGTATGGGCACAACCGTTAGAGGCCTGGCTCCGTGTTTGCTCAGAAGCCATTTTGGTGGTGAATATTCCAGATACTCACATTCATTAAATAACTGACATACAGCTGAGTGAGCCATTTTTTATACTTTCTTTAAAAAAAAGTAGATTTGGGGTATTCTTTAAGAGCATATGAGAGACGCCTACCTGATTTTGTTTTCCTTAATATGGAAACTCATTTTGTGTAACAAACACTAAGTATTGACTGCAAGCCAATGGTGTGTACGAGGTAGGAGATGTCCTTGTCACCCTAGGAGAGCTCACAGCATGCCCCTTGTTCTTCTTCCACCTGGTTTTGCACTAAGCACATGTCCCCATTGCAGCTGATCAGCGATGGCAGTGTGGTCTGTGCAGAAGCCTTATGGGACCACGTGACCATGGATGACCAGGAACTAGGCTTCAAGGCAGGAGATGTCATCCAGGTCCTGGAAGCCTCTAACAAGGACTGGTGGTGGGGCCGGAATGAGGACAAGGAGGCCTGGTTCCCCGCAAGCTTTGTCAGAGTAAGTGTGTGGCACTTACAAACCCTTCTCACGACGATCTGTGGGGGAGTGGTAGAGTTGTGATGTCAGGCTCGAGCCCCCTCAATCCAGGTTCAGTTCTTTGTAATCAGTTTAATGAAAGCTTTCAGTAATTAGACTGGATTGAAGGAAACATTTCAACCACAGTCAACTAGTTGTTTAACATTGCTACAGTGGTTGGAGCCACTGGCTCTGCTGTGGTTCTGTGAGTACGTGAAGACTTAGCCTTGGGCCAGGCTGCCTTCCTCACAGCCGCAGAGAAGCGGAAACCCTGGGGGGCCTTCCGCCTGCTTCTGTTACCGCATTCCCCCAAGTCACTTGTCACCTGTGTGTGGCCCACAGTTGCGTGTCAATCAGGAGGAGCTGTCGGAGAATTCCAGCAGCACCCAGGGCGAGGAACAGGAGGAAGATGCCGGCAAGAACCGCCACAAACACTTGGAGAACAAGCACCAGATGAGGACCAATGTCATCCAGGAGATCATGAACACTGAGCGCGTGTACATCAAGCACCTCAAGGACATCTGTGAGGTAAGACCCCAGACCCTGTGGACTCCCCAAGGTGGTCCTCAGTCAAACCCTCATTTTATACACTTTTCCATAGCCCTCCCTTCTCCTCACGCCTTTTGGTCCATGTGGTCCCTGCACAGACTCCGCCCTCATTCAGTGCCTGTCTGCCCCCGTGAGCATCAGTGGCTCTGTTGTAGTCCATTTTCTAGGCGCTATGCAACTAATGCTCTGAGGACTGACCTCCCGAGATGATTCAGAGTGAATGCCCTTCAGAGGAGGCAACATCCTTTCAGTGAAACCCACGTGATGTTACAAAGGTCTGTCACTGTTTACAATCACAGACTCACAGATGAGGTTCTGAGCCATTTAGATGCGGACTAAAAAAAAAGAAAAATCGGTTTTACCTAGTGATACCCAAGGCCATGTTCTGCAGTGTCATGGTATTCTATGCGGCAATAAATTTTACTTGTCCAGTGAGAGTCTTTGTCTCTGTGGGTTCTGTACGAGCCTGACACGGCACTGGTGTTGGCCCCATCTCCTCATTCCACTGTCCTGGCTGTGAATGTTGAGTTCTGCACTCTCAGCTCGGCTGCAGACATTCAGCACTGAAGACAGGCTAGCGTGAGACAAGTGCCTGTTTTAGAATCGGATTAACTGGCCCCATAAAGATAGAGCGATGTTTAGCTAATTTTTTTTCTTTTTTATTTATTTGACAGATAGAGAGCACAAGTAGTCAGAGCAGCAGGCAGGGGGAGAGGGAGAAGCAGGCTTCCCACTGAGCAGGGAGCCCGATGTGGGGCTTGATCCCCGGACCCTGGGATCATGACCTGAACCGAAGGCAGCCACTTAACTGATTGAGCCACCCAGGCGCCCAGTGTTTAGCTTATTGATGCTAACTGTTTTGTTCCCTGTAAGTGTCTAGTTAAAGGAGTTTCTTTAATTCACCATTTTAGGAAAAGAAGTCATGGCTAACGATTGTTGGGCTTTGACTTTGTGCCGTCCCTTGAGCTGGATTAACTCCTACAAACACTCTCATCAGCTTGTCCTATTACCACGCCCCCTGCTCCCCCTTACAGATGAGGGAACTGAGGCACATCGTAGCTACTGTGGTGGGGCTAGGATTTAGATCAGTCTGCCTTAAAGCTTGTGTTTTGAACCTTTATATTGTCTTTCTGTTACAGTTCATACCAAATAGTGGTATGTATTTTATCAGCCAGACTGCTTAGGCTGTGTAATTACATGATGCTGATTTGGGGATACTTATTACACGTATGTATCTATGGCCTTTTCCTTCCCACTGCACTAACTCCTACCCCAGCCATAGTACAACTAGGGTGTTGTACATGGAGAATGAATAGGGCTCTAATCCGTGCAGGCCTTGGATTAAAGAGCTGCAACTTTATGTTCTCTATAGAAAGTAGGTGATGGTGGAATCCTTGGGTAAGATGTTCTTGGCTCTTTGCCATGACACTGAGCCAGTGCATGAGCTCTTCATGAAGCTGTGACATGCTGTATTTAACAGGTCTTCTCGGCTGTGAAATGAAATTAGCGATGGGAGAATGATTATCTTAAGAGTTTAGAAAAAGTATGACAGTCCCAATGTTTGCACTTTAAAATATTTGAAACCAATCAACTTTGTTTCAGGAACATAATCTGAAAACTTTATATAGTTTCTTGCTGTACACATCCAGCCATATGCACCTGTTCTCTTTCCTTTTGTATTTTAAAATATTCATAGCACCCTGGGGTCTCTGAGGTATGATTATCCCAACAGGGACCCATAGGATTAAAATAATTTCCTCTAATTCAAATCCCTTCCACAATAATGGCTTTGGGTCCCCAAGACTATATTATTCAAATAAATAATTGCTGTAATCTCCAGATTAATTTTTAAAAGTTTACTTTGCTGTTTGCAGGGCTATATTCGACAGTGTCGCAAGCACACGGGAATGTTCACTGTTGCACAACTAGCCACCATTTTTGGAAACATTGAAGATATTTACAAATTCCAAAGAAAGTTCCTGAAAGACCTTGAGAAACAGTACAATAAAGAGGAACCTCATTTAAGTGAAATAGGATCCTGCTTTCTTCAACATGTATGTCACCTGTTACTTCTTCTTTCTAACGTCCAGTTAAATAATTTTGAAATGTTTTCCACTCTAGAAAGGAATCGTTTTTCTTCTGTTTCTTGCTTTGTTTGCTAGATTAATCTCCTAGGGACTGGAGATGTCAGCTGTAAATTAAGTTGCTTCGCTTATATGGTTACTCTTTACCTAAATACCTCAAGATTTCAAAATCTTCCACTTGTATGCAGTTTTGAGGGTTTTAGGAGGTTGTATTTGGAATAATTTCTCATAATACCTATTAAGTGATTCTTGTATGTTAAGCATGGTTTCCAGGGTTTGCTTATATTAGCTCCTGCTACAGAGAAGGTATGATTATTTTACCCATTTTCCACATGCAGAAACTATAGCCCAGAGAGTAACTGACCCAGAGTCACACCTGAGTAAGGGGCAGGTGTGGATTCAGACCGAGGATACCGAAAACTGCCTCAGAACAGTCTTGTGATGATAGTGAGCTTATAACTGGGGATTGACTGCCCATGTTTGATACTAACAGATTTCACAGGAAGGAGACTTCATTCCCAGCCCAAATGGGTATAATCATGGTGACAGTGACAGCAGTGACAACAGCTGCCTCACGTGGCGCTCGCTGGGTGCTCACAGTGGCTACACAGAGGCAGGGTGGGTTAATGTTAAACAGCCAGAAATAATGCTGTGGTGGCCCCACGCGTGGGAAGATCAGCCCCATGAATGCACCAGGCCTGTTTGGCCAGAGCCGAAGGTTCTGAGAGAGAGGCTTCAGAGGTCAGCAAAGGTCAGGCTGCAGTGGGGGCAGGACCTGGGGAAGGTGGAGCCTCTAGGTTGTGTGGGCCTTGCCGGGGTCCTGGACCACCGGAGAGTCTAGCTGAGGGACAAGGTGTGCTGCTTCTGGGCAGAAGGGGCTGGGAGCTAGGGTGGGCTGGACTGCAGCAAGGATGTGGAAAGACAGCGATGTTGGCAGGGGATTTTTGAGCACCAGCTGACAAAACTATTCTTGGGGAACATGGGCAAGCAGCTGTTTGAACCACTTGCAGACTGTTGGGGCTCAAAGAATTGACGGTTGGGTTGTGAAAACCTGTCTTGTAGGGAAATCGTCTGGCGGGCAACATGTTGTGTTGAGCAAGGACAAGGATAAACTGTGAGGCAGGACACAGGCTGAAAGACACACAGCTGCGGGCAGGGTAGGCGACTACGAGCCGGCCTCCGGCCTCCGTGGAAGCTGGGGGAAGCCCACCATGCCTGCACAGGTTGGCCAGCAGGGCGGCAGCAGCCTGGAAGTGAGAGGTGGGGGAGAAAGGAAGTGATCCAGGGGCTTTCGATCAGACATCAGAGGGGACCTGCATGTGGAAGCCAGGTGGGAGGAGGTTAAGGAGAGGACTTGCAGTGAGGGGAGCAGGTGGTGGCTTTGAATCCTGCCTTTATGGTCATGATCACCACCATGTTTATCAGTGAAAGTAAAGAGGAGGAGGGGGAGAGAGTTGGATTTGTGAATAGTGCCTGCCTTTTCCTTAGAGCAGAGCTAGGGCAGACACAGTGCTGGCAGAGGGTTCCTCTCTCCCATGGAAGCCCTGTGCGACTTTTGGGGTACACGGAATGGGGCTTCGAGTGGGACCAGGGCGCCAAGTCCACAAAGATAGCCCCTCCCCCACCCTCACCCTTCTAGCCACACCCACACCTGGTCTGTACGTGCCCCCTACCCCCACCTCAGAGAAGAGGGCGTGGCCCGAAGCTGGCCCCTGGTCTGACACAGCTGTGCTTCTGCTTCCCAGCAAGAGGGCTTCGCCATCTATTCCGAGTACTGTAACAACCACCCTGGCGCCTGCGCAGAACTGTCCAACCTGATGAAGCAGGGCAGGTACCGACACTTCTTCGAAGCGTGCCGCCTACTCCAGCAGATGATCGACATCGCCATCGACGGCTTCCTCCTCACGCCAGTGCAGAAGATATGCAAGTACCCTCTGCAGCTGGCCGAGCTGCTCAAGTACACCACGCCGGAGCACAGGTGGGAGCAGCACGCCTGCTGGTAGATGCGCACGCAGCGCCCACCCTGCGCCGTCAGCCCCGTACCCCAGGTTCCCGGGGCCGTGCTCAGGGCTTCACAGAGTGGCGGCAGCCTGCAGGTTTAGGGGTCCGCTTGACGCTCTTGGTTAGTGGTTAGCGTCATGGAAGAAATTGTCACTTGGCTTAGAATGCTCGAGATTATGTCTTGAAACTGGGGTTGTTGGAAGAGGCTCCAGAATATCCATTCCTAGAAACACTAAAAAAGTAAGAATAATCCTTAAACTGTGTCAGGAGCATACAGGGATTTGTATTGTACTGTTGGCCATTAAAACTGATGTCTGTTTTATAACTCCTCTTTTGTAGCTACTCAGTAGTTAATAAGAACAGTTTTTTTTTTAATATTTTATTTATTTATTTGACAGAGATCACAAGTAGGCAGAGAGGCAGGTTGGGGGCGGGGAAGGAAGCAGGCTCCCTGCTGAGCAGAGAGCCCGATGTGGGGCTCGATCCCCGGACCCTGGGATCACCACCCGAACAGAAGGCAGAGGCTTAACCCACTGAGCCACCCAGGCACCCCAAGAGCAATTTTTAAAAGACACCATTGTGAATACAGTTTCAGAAATACTTTGCTCCCGTTCCTACAGCAGCTCCCCCTCGGAGCAGTATCACGTACTGCAACAAAACGCTACTTTAGAGAAGGGTGAGGACTACCAAAGTTTAAACTTCTGGAAGACTGGGGAAATCTCAAGGATACAGCGTAATGCGTAGGGTTAGCTTGGAGAAGCATCCCATTGAGGTCCTGTCCAGCTCTAAGCCCTTTCTTTTTTTAAAGATTTATTTAAGGAGGGACGCCTGGGTGGCTCAGTGGGTTAAAGCCTTCTGCCTTCGGCTCAGGTCATGATCCCGGGGTCCTGGGATCGAGCCCCGCGTCGGGCTCTCTGCTCAGCGGGGAGCCTGCTTCCCTTCCTCTCTCTGCCTGCCTCCCTGCCTACCTGTGATCTCTGTCTGTCAAATAAATAAATAAAATCTTTAAAAAAAAGATTTATTTAAGGAAAGAGACCATGTGGAGTGGGGGGTAGGGGCAGAGGCAGAGAGAGGGAGACTCTCCAAGCCAACTCTGCGCCGAGCTTAGAGCTGGACACAAGGCTTGATCTCACACCCCTGAGATCGTGATCTGAGCCAAAACCAGGAGCTGGACATGCAACAGACTAAGCCATGCAGGCACCCCTACGACCTTTCAGACCCAGCCTGGGTGCTTGCCTATCTCCGTGATCCATTCCACCCCATCCCCTTGTGCTTGGAGCACGGGGCTTCTCATCACCGTTACCCCAAAGCTCCATTTCCTTGTGTGACTTGCTTTGTCCTTAACTAAGTTCTTCTAGGGGAGCCAAAAAGTTATCCATTGCTTACTTAATAACAACTCCCTGTTTTCTTGCTTGTGCAGAATAAAGCGTCACCATGCTGTGATTTTTTGTAAGATCTCACCCCTTCAGTGTTGGAATGGGCAGGTCATGCTGTGCCATTCCCCGAGATGCTCAGGTCCCAGCCGTGTGGTGTCTTTAGGTGGCACTGGTTGGGCATTGCTGTGTTCTCACTAGGCCAGAGCTGGAATGCCAGTGGGCAAGGCTTTAGGATGAAGCTTACTGTTTTAGGTAAGAGTCAAACCTCAGCTGTGACTCCCGTGTCACTGGTACAAAGCGTTCAGTGTGCCTACAGCCCTTGAACGAATGGTCTCGGAAGGTTCTAGTATGAGAGAGTGGGGACAGGATTGTAGCCAGAGGAAATATGCTATGCCAAACCACAACAGTTGTGGGTTCTACCAGCTAAGTGTGGCCCTGAGAGCAGTCAGATTATCTGCGGCAGCGCCTGGCCCTGGGGTGTGCTTAACGGAGCATTCTTTCGCCCTGTTTGCTGCCTGCTGGACTCCTATGGAGACACAGGGCTTGTAAAAGGAATCTTTTTGCAATTAGCTTGGAAACTGGAAGGAGAAAAAGAGCTAGGTTACCAAACAGTAGAAGCTAGATGTGGATGCTAGTATAAAGAATTAAGATTAAAGGAATAAGAAAAAGGAGTTCATTGAAATAGATAAAAGGGAAGAGAGCTATATATATTTTTCTTTTTCTGATGGAAAAATAAGAAAACTTGAGTGCAGGGAAAATAGCAAAGTCAAGAGAGCCACAGATTTGCAGAAAATGTTAAAAAAAATACACCATGATGAGGAACTATAGAAAATATGTAAGAGAATAAGAGGCAGAGACATCTTGACAGACGTGGACAAGCAGATTGGTACATTCCAATATGGACAAGGTATGGCCAGGGGACTATACATCATCCTTTAGTAGTTAATTTTTCTTTTTTAAGGAAATTGTTCAGTATGAGGCCTTTGCCTATTTTGGCTATTCCCCCCGCCCCCAAATCCTTTTAAAGGAAATGACAGAAAACCCATTTCCTTATCTTCAGGAAAACAAAAAAAAAAAATTTTTTTTTTTTTTCGAAAAACGATTATACTCTGCCTCTTCTCTAGAATTGACAGAACATCTTGTAGGAAAAAATGTACAGTTATTTTGTACACTTTCTTCATTGCTGGAGGCCTGGGGTGGGTGGTTGCTCCATTATTTTGGCAGTCCCCTGTGTCTGTTTTGTTCTTCCTTTGTGCTCCGCTGCTGAGTATGAATAGGCCTGTCTAGAGGTAGCAGGGTCTGCCTTGTGGGGGAATGCCCAGGGACTTCCCAGGGGCTGAGTTATTTGTGTTTGGTAAATAGACAATAGAATCTGCTTCCAGGGCTTTCTTTCCTTGCTGTGCAGGAGGATATAATTCGGTGCGACTGAGATCCAAAAGCTCTATCTGTCTTATAAGACACAGGAAAGTCCTGGAAAGCAAAGAATTCAGATCATTAGCTGGATGATTGGTTTACATGTCCCCAGATTATTAACTCTGAGCAAAACCTGAATGTCATACTTCCCAGTACGAGCCAGGTTCTGTTCTAGTCTGTGTGGCAGGTAGACCTGTAGTTTGTTTCCCTGGTACCTGCAGTTTTAGAGGCTGAGGAACAAGAGCTCCTCCAGAGGACATTGCGGTTTGCTCTGACTGTAGCATAAGGAAGCACCAGAAACAAAGGTCTGTCAACCAGTTGTGTATGGATGGTGTCAGCATTTACGTAACTCGCCGCATCGAGCCTCTGTGGCTTGTGTCCTCTTTATGTCCTTTCTTGAACATGGTAGATGATGAGACTCAGAGTGAATAATTTCTCTTGAGAATGGTTAGTTATTTTTAAAGTACTTTATATAGCAAAACTGGCTCTCTGAGAACCAAATCAGTCATAAAGACTATCCTTTCTTTATTAATGAAAATAATCCATTGTCACTGTGACTAAAACTTTATTTCTTGTGGCATTTACTTTCATTCATTGTGATTTCTGGGAAATGAATGAAAAGATTCTTATTCTGAAGAATGCCGGATTGCATTTGGTCATTTCCCTTAACCTATGGAGACTGTGGTCTATTCATGGAGGAAAAGAAAAAGGAAACAATGGCTGTTATTTAAATGCTACTCTGTCTAGACTATTAGTATACAAATCCAGGATGGAGTGTATTACTTTGTCAGTCGTGTTTCATGGGTTTCAGGTTCTGTGGTTAAAACGAGCCTCCTACTTTACAGTGATTACAACAACATAAAGGCAGCCTACGAAGCCATGAAGAACGTGGCCTGTCTGATCAATGAGCGCAAGCGCAGGCTGGAAAGCATAGACAAGATAGCGCGGTGGCAGGTGTCCATCGTAGGCTGGGAGGTAAGTGCGCACCCCTTCCCGCACCTGCTTCGCCACCCAGCACTGCTCACGCCCTCCCTCACTGTAGTCTTGTTTGATGACGTTCTGTGACATCCTGTGACTGATACATTATAACTTTATATTCTTGGCTCTAATGGTATATGTACTTTGAGGCAGGTGGTTGAACTTAACAGTCAGCTACTTTACCAGAAACTCACTTCCACCAAAAAAATCCACTCTGAAGAATGTCTGTAATTAATTTATTATTTACACTCTGTCTTTCCTGCTGGAAAGTATGTTCCATGAGACCAACTGGAGAACATTTTTTTAATATTTATTGATTTGAGAGCGAGAGGGTGTGGGGGTGGGGAAAGGTAGAGGGAGAGTCTTACACAGACTGAGCTGAGTGCAGAGTGGGACACGGGGCTCTATCTTGCGACCCTGAGATCACTACCAGAGCCGAAACCAAGGGTCGGACGCTTAACCAACTGTGGCACCCAGGCGCCCCTGGAGAACATTTAGAATACAAATAGTGTGGTGGGTGTATGGACTCTGAACTCTCACTGCCTGTGGTTGAATTGGATATGATCTGGGCAAGATTAAGATTTTCATCCTTAAGATGGGTTTGAAAATATTAGCTACCTCATAGAGCTCTCCCGAGGATTCTGGAAGACGGTGGCAGATGCAGTGCTTGGCTCAAGCTGGTCACGCTGGTCCCGCATGCATATGTGCACGTGCATGTATGCACATTTATTTATAAAAATAACGGTGGTTGTGTTTCCTGCGTGCCTGGCACTAGTCTAAGCCATTTCTATATGTGAACTCATTTAATGCTCTCAGTAATCCTGTGGGGTAGGAGCTGCTGTTACCCTCATTAACAGATAGGGGAATGGAAACATGGCAGGGTTAAGTGGCTTTGCTGGAACAACGAATGCTGTTCTGATTGTTTTCAGACCAAGCAAAATTCATCGTACATTAAACTAATTGGGCAGAACTCACTGTCCCTAAGAATTAAGAGAGTTTGGACTGGGAAGTTAGGTTTTTAACTAAAGTAGGTTACAGCAGTGAACGTTGGAAAGAAATACTTCTATTTCAGGGGCCATAGAGCCTTCTGGAGCTTGGATGGGCCTTTAGACATCACTGCATTAAACTCTCTTACTTTGTAAGTGAGGAATCTGGGGCACAGAACTGCTCTAGGCAAGCCAGTAGAAGAACTATTTTGGAGTCAAAGTAGTTTTTTGCCTCCACAAAATACTGCGTATGACTGGGATTAAAGGAGGATAAAATCTTATAAATCAGAGGCCAGTGTTGTACTGAATACCACAGAGTTCCATTGGGTTAGACCCAACCTAATACTGTAAAGATGTGTTTTTTCCTTGTGTTCTTGGATTGTGACATTTAGGGGATAATTCGTCGTCAGAAGTTTTACCAATACCCAGCTGGCTATTTGCTGTCTGCTCTTTTGTTTCCAATATCCTAAGCTAGTTATTCTGGGAGCCACGCTACATACCAGACTGAAAAGCCAGAGCCCCAGAGTCTAGAGTAGTAAGTCCCCCCCACATAGAAAGCCTCCTTGGTGTCCTTATTCTCCGAGGAGCAGCCATTTCAGACTGACGGGAGTCCATTCATCCTTGTAAGGAAGACCCTTCAGGTAGCACAGAGGCACTGTAACATTTTCCCACTGGGTAGGAAATAAAGAAAAGAAGTTTCACACACAAGGAGATGAACCACCCGTGTTTGGAAGGGGCCTTTTTTAGCCCTGCTGACCTGTGAATGGATCTCCTTTAACTGGAAAATGGGAAAAAGAGTGTCAGGACTTGTCCTCGTATCGTGACACATTCTCACGCAATCCAAACAGGAAGGTCTTAAGATGCGTGTTCATCCTCGCAGGGGCTGGATATCCTAGACCGCAGCTCCGAGCTGATCCATTCTGGGGAGCTGACCAAGGTCACCAGGCATGGCAAGAGCCAGCAGCGGACGTTCTTCCTGTTTGACCACCAGCTGGTGTCCTGCAAGAAGGACCTGCTGCGCAGGGACGTGCTCTACTACAGAGGCCGCACGGACATGGATGACGTGGAGCTCGTGGACCTGGAGGACGGCCGGGACAAGGACTGGAACCTCAGCGTGAAGAACGCCTTCAAGCTCGTCAGCAAAACCACGGATGAGGTTCATCTGTTCTGTGCCAGAAAGCAAGAGGACAAGGTGCGGTGGCTGCAGGCCTGCGAGGACGAGAGGCGGCGCGTGCGGGAGGACCGCGAGATGGGTGAGCCGCGCCTCTGCCACCTGGCCTCAGGGGTGCACATCCTGAATACAGCTGACCCTTGAACAGTGCAGGGCTTGGGGCACCGACCCCGCCCCAGTCAGAAATCATGTGTAATGCTTGACTCCCCTACAACTTCACTAGTCCCAGCCCACTGTTGGCCAGAAGCCTTACCGATAACATAGTGGATTAATACACATCTGCTATGTTATATGTATTATTATGCTGTATTGTTACAATAAAGTAAGCTGGGGGAAAGGTTCTTAAGAAAATCATAAGGAATACGAAATACATTTACAGCACTGCCCTGTATTTATCGAGAAAACCCCACATATAAGTGGACCCACGCTGTTCAACCCCATGTTGCTCAGGGGTCAGCTGTGCTTCTGAACTTGCTGCAGGACAGCCCATGACAGACAGAGTTCCTACAAGGCCCCATTTAGTCAGTCGTCTGTGTGTTGATACAGTACCCCACTGCACCCAGGAGCGGGTCCTGCTTGGGAGGATGTCGTCCTAGTGTCCATCCTGGTGACAGTCCTTGCTGCTTCTCCATTTGTAATCTTGTCAACCTCTTACAGTTCCTCGGGGAATAAGGTTCTTTGCTGCGGGTTATGTTGAACACCTCAAGGGTAATATGGGTCATGGTTTAGTTTTACTCTCTCATGGTGTCACTTTTTAAAAATTTTATTTAAATTCAATTAATGAACATATAGTGTATTATTAGGTTCAGAAGTAGAGGTCAGTGACTCATCAGTTGTATATCACACCCGATGCTCATTGTATCAGGTGCCCTCCTTAATGCCCATCGCCCAGTTACCCCATCCCCCCACCTGCCACCCCTCTAGCAGCCCTCAGTTTGTTTCCTATGGTTAGGAGTCTCTTATGGTTTATCTCCCTCTCTGATCTTGTCTTATTTTATTTTTCGCTCCCTTCCCCTATCCTCCTAGGGAAATCATACGGTAATTGTCTTTCTCTGATAGACTTGTTTCACCTGTTTTGAATATTTGTCATGTCTGTTCCTAAATCCAGGAATGGAAATTTCAGAAAATCAAAAGAAACTCGCCATGTTAAATGCTCAAAAGGCGGGACATGGAAAGTCAAAAGGTAAGTTTTGAAGAAGGCTTCATCTTCTTATCTCCTTCATGCGTATCAGTATGGGAATTAAAATCAGGGAGAATGAAGTCATTAGCACGCTGATGATCAGCTCCCGACAAAGGAGAGACGTATGGGTGAAACTCAGAATGATAGGGAACAGCTCCCCCCACCCCCCCACCCCCAGTAGGTGGTTTAGACTAGTCTGCGTTTGGGTTTCAGTGTGAGTATGCTTCAGTATATGCTGACATTTGAACATGAGCCTGTCAGATGTGTTTTGAATTGGTGCCGAAGAGCTTCTACACCTCCCCACCCTGAGGTCGTGCTGGCGTTCTTCCTCGGGCCAGTCAGCTCACCAGTCCAAGGCAACCCCAGCAGCTCTTCGTGTTTCGGGCATGCATGGAGGAAATCTCCAGCCCCAAACTGCTTATCAGTGCAGGCTGCATTCTAGCGTAGGTAAGAAAAAAGGGTCCAAAATTCCAGTAGATCAAGAAATAAGCTAGAAAGAAAACACACTAGCTTATTTAGAGCAATGAATCCCTGCTCTCCATGCACATTAGATTGCCTGATGGCTACTGAAGATGACCAGCGCTCAGGTCACACCTCATTCATTGTCCTGATGAGCAAAAAAAGATTTTATTTTATTCATTTATTTGTTTATAGTACTGATAATAACACATGATCTCACCGAACAGAAATAAAATAATAAGGATTTTTATTTCAAAAATATTTGTTATATTCTTAGAACCTTTTCTTCAGATTGACTTCCTACTCTTAAGAACAATTTATCCTCTGAAGTGTGTCCCACTCAGGATTTTCGTAACCGAAAGTGCAAAAACAAGACCAGTTAAGCCTAGGATGGTGATGTGCCATCAGCTGAGGGCCAAGAGAATTCATGACCAAAACAACCCTCAGTGTTCCATTCCCCTGTTGAAAGGCAGAATTCCACCCCACCCCACTAAGTGATAAATACCTTTGAGGAGGGAAAAAACCAACTCTCGTTCTTTTTTTGGATCTCCACGTCAGTGGCAGGTGACCAGTAAATATCTGTTTGTTAGAGTGTATCGGTTTGTGTCGGCATCTGCCAGAAGCCACTGGCTCAGCAGCTAGGCACCTGAATGGAGGGAACACGTGTGGTGTTGGGTCACCTGCCGGGCTCCTCTCTGCAGGGAAGGCGGGGAGAGCCTTGTGGCGGGTCAGGGCCAGGATGCCCTCTGGACTGAGTCCTGGCTTCCTCTAGGACCCACACTCTTTCCTCCTGTCACTCAGACTTTCACAGTTAGCTTGCGGTCCTGGAGCTCAGTGTCCCAGGTCTTCTCATTACCTTGGTGCAGATTTGAAAACCTATTCCAGTGAAACCGTTTTGATTATGCGATTCGGTTCGGGAACCCTGTTCTCAGCACGTTACTTATATGAGCTCTTAATTCTCACAGCAGCTGGTAGGTGCTGTTATGTTGGCTCTTAGGTGTACTTTGGGTTCATATGAATTAAGAATCAGCTAAGAACTCAAGTCTTGGCGTTGTTTTTCCCTTTCGGCTAATGAGTGACGCTGGGTCCATGTTCCACCCTTCTCCCCTCTCGAGTTAGGCTACAGCGGATGCCCCGTGGCCCCGCCGCACCAGAACCTGCACCCCCTTCACCAGCGCCACGTCACCGTGCCCACCAGCGTCCCTCAGCAGCAGGTGTTTGCCCTGGCAGAGCCCAAGAGGAAGCCATCGCTCTTCTGGCACACGTTCAACAAACTCACCCCTTTCAAGAAATGAAAACCGGAGGCCACACGTTGGCTGAGGTGTCTGTAAAGAGGAGAACCATTTCTGTTTCTCTGTGCTCAACCCAGTGCTGAGAATTTCTTTCGGGGACCAGTGAAGAATAGAAGTCTTGGACGTGACCGAGGTGCCTCTGAAGACCCAGCTCCTCCTTGGAAGGGAGATGGAGGTCATGGTGCACGGCCTTGATGTCCATGAGATCGCTCTGGGCCCTGTGCCAAGATGGCTGGGCCTCAGGAACCAGTGACCTGCTCTGCGGTGATGCTGAGCAGTGACCCCAGTGGGCATCACTGATGATGGGCACACGCCCTGTTGCCGTTCCTGAGGAGGGACTCGATGACAATGCCACTTTGGCATGTGGATTCGAAGGGGACAGTCGTGATGGGGTTGGTACAGTAACATCTCACCAGCACGGACAAGCTATTCCTGTCTTCACAGTGTTAGGCGACTTAGCACCTCAGTGCAGATGGCTGTGGTGTCCCCTGGTGTCCTCTGAATTGTTACCAAGTGGTAGTGCCAGCTTCCCCTGGCAAGATGCGTCCCCTACAGGCTAGAGGGAGAAGCGTGTTGAATCCCTTCTGGGGAACATGGTCCGGGGGACTTCAGCATCCTGAAGATGCAGCTGCTTTCCAGGGAGAAAGCGTGAAATCCTGCCACAGGGTAGACTGTCCTCAAGGCAGGTCCCTTCCTGCCGGTGTGTACAGCATGTGACTCCATGGGCAGAAATCACACCTGTGTGCACGTTGTGACCTAAGGAATTAATCAGACCTATCTATTTGCAGTATAGAAACCCATTTACTTTAATTATCTGATACAAACGAAACATGCACATGCACCTGTGGAAGGACATCTCAGAGCATCAGTGCACTTTCCCACCAGTAGTTTCTGGAGTCCCCACCAGAATAAGTAATTAAGTTACAGTGACCCGAACATTCCACCAAGAAAACATGTGGTTCAGAGTAGCCCACCTTCCTCAGGATTCGAAGCTGACTTTGTTGCATAAGCCCCAAACAGTAGTGCTAACCCCGCCCTTATTAATCTGTCAGGAGGGTTCTGAAGATTCATTCTTTATTAAGAGACCTTAACAACAATACATCTAGACTCAGACATAGCGGTCTGTTCTAACGAAGGCCACATGGGCTGATATCTGGCGATAGTAATCTCCTCGTTGTCTATATTGTAAGTGTTGATGAAAATAACTTTTAAATATGTCTGGAGACGACAAGTTCTGCAAGGGAGAGGCCTTTTAAATGTACTTAGTGCACTGTGGATATTGTCATATCCACACTTTGGTTTTCTATGTGAGAATCCCCTTTTTGTACACTACTCAGAGTCCTGTTTTCCAGTAGGCCTGTGCTGGAGAATAAACAAACCTGTAACATCCTAGACGAAGGTAGAAACTGTACCTCCAAGTGTCTGGTCCCTCCTCCCTCCACCCCCACCATCCCCCCTACCCAGGGTCGGTCCCGAAGGAGGTGACATCCCACATCAAGAAGACCTAATTCTGGACATCTGGGTGGGCCTTAGAGAATTACCTGGAAATGTTGTCAGGTCTGCCCCCATGATGTGCTCACTTGGACATAGGACGGCTACAAGGTGGTGCTGCCCTGGCCTCCCTGATACCCAGTGTCCCAGGATAGAGGCTGCTTCTGTGAGGAAGCTTCCAGGAGGTGCTGTGGCTCCGAGTGTAAGAGCGCGCACATGCGTGCGCGTGTGTGTATACATGCACTTGTTTCTTTTGTGGATAGACCTCTTGATTTTAGTTGCATTTATATAACTGACCTAAAATTTTTACCAAGAACATATAATGACCTATTTTGAAAATTACACTTAAAATGCTTTTTGTGGACCCCTCAGCAGTAACTAGGAGTCTCTGTGCTAAACAGAGTTGTTTGTATATGCAACAATTTTGAATATTTTTTTAATACAAGAAAATTAGGGAAGAAAAGAGAACCATTTGCTTATGTTCCATTTTCAGTGAGGAGTCAATTCAAGTAAAGAACCACTTAATGGGCTTCCATTTACTAATGTTTCCAAAGGTGCAATGAAGTGATTTAAGTTCTGTGACCAGTCCCACTGTATTTCCTATCAGAGCCCTGACTTCTGGTTGCCACCTGTCCCTCCAGGGACTCTCCAGAAATAGCAGGAAGCTTGGGCACCAGCGCCTGGACAATGCCCAGCACCGCCCCGTGAGCTCCATGCAGGATGGGGGGGTGGGGTCATTTGATCCCAACCCACCCTAAGTAGGTTCTGCTTGGCCTTCTCTGGTGATTTTGAAAAGTGAGAAAATTTTTTAAGAAGGTAGAATGCCTTTTACTTCTTTTAAATCTGTTTGTCTAGTTTGAGTTTTATTACCAGATGCATGAGTTTGATAAAGAATAGATGGCTCAGTATTCTAATTTTAGGTTTTTCCACTTTCCTTCTTGATGTAAGTCCTGTGCTCCACTTGAAAAGAACACAAGAGAAATAAACCAAGAGCCCCCAAATGGATTTTGTATGGATTTCTTGGGAATCTTGGTTTCTCCCTTTTTCCTCATTTTAACCTCATATTGCATAATATGGATGCCCCCACCACACACACACACGCACTCTCTCTCACACACACACACAAAGATAGCAAAACACTTTGACAAATCTCAATTTATTATTTATGTTTCAGAACCTGTTGGAAGACAGTTGAAATGGCCTTGGCCTTGGGTCAAAAAACAACCTTCTCGATTTCCGTCGTACCTAAAGTGCACAACCACCTTGCAATAAATCATAAACTGTCATAAAATGGAATGTTTGTAAAATCTTAGAGAAATCGCATTCTCTGTCTTTGGCCTGCAAATAAGCAAAAGGCTGGAAGCGATGTGCCAGAGCTCTCCTGGGGGCCCCTTCTTGCCAGGTTGTTTGTTTTGTTTGTTTGCTTGTTTTCAGTAGATCTCCTCTTTTCCCCTCGTAGATCTGATTTTGTCATTGAAAACATTTCATCCCTGTCTGCACGCTGTTTCTGAATATGTTGTGCCTTTTTATACCTAATCCAGATGAAGACCAACTCCATGCCTGTTCAGAAAATGCCCTCAATCCTACACCACTGTTGTCTGGACACAAAGCAGAAGTGCATTTAATTCACACTTTGTATCACAATAGAAGTCTTCTGTAAAAGCCATGATTCAGTATTTATCTGCTAGAAAACTCTTCATGCCCAAACTGCTGATATTTCTCCATACACATCAAGTTAGTTACCTAGCCAGAATAGAAGGCCTGATTACCTGGAGTTAAGGAGAAAATTGCTGTCTTGTTATTTTATGGAAGATGGGAGAAACCGATGTGTCCCTCACAGGACAGCACGAACAAGTGTGGGTACACGTCCTTCCTATGGCTGACAGGCCAGGGATGCTGGCCACGAATCAGCTGGGTCCAACTTCTCAAAAACATTGGTCCCTATAAGCTTAACTGACACATGTTCTTATTCAAATTCCACTTGACTAATGCTCTTATTCTCAGGAGGCTTGCAGTGAAAGTAGAGCTCAAACGGTTTTGAGAAGAGTAAGTCGAAACTCTCTGAACTTAAAAGGAAAAACCCAGAAACTTACATATTTGATGCAAATGTTTTTAGCTAGAACACACTTGACGTTACCGTCCTTACTTAACTCCTAGACATCGACATTTGTATTTAGAAAATACTCTAACAGATTCTGTAATTTAATAATTGGTCTTTTTGTAAATAATAGCATCAGCTGTGTTTAACTTACCTATTTTGCAGCTTTTAGTAACCTTTTCCTTGAATTTAACTCAACATCAAGACAATGTTAAATCACGTGCCAGCTTCAAAACTGATGAATTCGCTGTTGACAGCTGAAGTATGTTGTACAAGACTGCTATAACTTGACATGTATTTCTGTTGAATGAAGTTTTTGTAAAAAAAAAATTATTTACAATGTTATTTGAATGATTTCTTGTAAATGCTGTGAATCTATATTTGTTGTTTTGTATCTGTATATTAAAGTTAATTTGCCAAACTGGTTCCAGTAATGCCTCTGAGTAGTAAAATAAGACTGTATATTTTTAAAAATTAAAAAAAATGTTTTTTTAAGTAGAGAGCGAGTGCTAGGTGGGTTTCTGGCATTTCAAGCTCATTTCCTGTCTGGACATTGATAGACTTCCTTTCAGTAAAAATTCATCCATGGACGAGCAGGCTTAAGCCAGTAGACAGGTATGGGAGAAAGGGCTCCCAGTGAAAAAAGTCACCATGGCTTGGAGAAAGCCAAACCCAAAGTGCTAAGGCCCCCCTCTGCTCTCTAGTCGGGGACGGTAGATGAACCGCACGTGCCGTTGTATACACTCTTCATTTCAGAGCTGCTGCCCTGGTGGAGATGAGGCTGCTTCACTAGGAGGTTGGCTGCTTATGCTTTGGAGGCAGGGAACATAGAATTTCCGTCTCTAATTAACAGCTCAGAGAAGTTGAGTAAATAGCCCATTGTTTGCTGTGACTGTAATCAGGAAAGTATTGCTATGAAGGTTGCCAAGCAGCAGTCCCCATGTTTGTTTATTCTAAACGTCCACCTACTTCCCAAACCAATCTGCTCCCCCTCCTTGGGCTGCCCTGGTAGATGGGTTGGCTTAGGGGTGAGGAGGGGAAGAGTGAGCGCTGGGAACCTGAAAGCTTGACACTCAAGGATGGCTTCCAGGGACCAAGCCGGTGCCCTATGTAGGAAGGGGTACAAAGAGGGCAGTGGAAACTTTCCAGAAGAGCCGAGGGGGAGATGACCTCTCATGACAGCCACCTGCTCTGTGCACTGGGGAAGCAAGCTGAAATGAGTAATCCTCCATAGGAGCATGTGGTCAGAGGGAGACAGGAACATAAAGGTGTCATTAAAATTTTCAGTGTGAATTATGCAATACTAGGGCTGTGTGCAAGTTACATGGGCCTCAGCGTTCTGGGAGCCGAGTCCTCTCATCTGGTGTCAGGGAAGGAAGGTGGCCCAGGAGGCGAGGCCCAAGCAGCATCCTGGAGGAGTAACCCAGCACGGCAGGGCCTCTGGGTGTGTTGCTTGAATCAACCTGCTACAGTTGTGTGAGCCTCAGTGGTGGAAGTTGGTTCCCGAAGACTCTGCCAACCAGGATGAGATGCTGGGGTTTCATTTTGTAGGGAAAGAATTGAAGGCAAGGAAAGCTGTGCCCAAATTTGCCCCAGAGCTCATGCCAGTGGCAGAAGAAAGCGTGGATTTAAAACCAGAGGCAGGAGACGACTGGGGAGATGGTGTCCAGCAAAGAGACAGTGGGAAGGGAAGGGAGGCTGGATGCAAAGGCTGCTCAGCCATGGCCACAGCCCTTGGGAGGAGATGTGGTTCCCAAGTTCTGCCTTGGGGGTGATGCTGGGGTTGATGGCCGGCTGCTGGCACCATCCACGGATCCAGAAAAGAAGAGCTGAGACGGCGGGCCCTGTGCTACTGTCTGGTCCCACCTGTGGGGAGTACAATGCCACGTGCAGCCCCAGAGAGAGGTGGGAGCGGGAGAAGCGGGTGGAAAGGAAGCAGAGAGGATCCACCTGGGAACAACCCCAGAGAGCGACCAGGCAGAGGAAGGCAACAGGGAAGAAGCTGGGGATGGAGAAGGAGGAAGATAAGGATGACATGGGGCAGGGGAGGACAGCAAAAGCAGAAAGGAGGAATTGTCAGCTGCTGTTCCCTCCCGCTGAGGAAGGACTGAAGGTGTCTGGGTGCTTCAGGGATCAAGAGTTGAGCCTGTTAACGGGCTGGTGGAAGAGAAACCGGCTCTGCTAAGGTCACTGAATTAAATCCTGCCACTTCCCTGTGACGCTGGGACTGCTTCGCCTGCGGGCCAGATGAGGACATGGAGGCATGGCGAGTAGAGAGGGGTCTCCTCTGTTCAGTGGGACTTGCCCTGCACCCACATACCCCATTCTCCGTGTGGCCTCTGCAACCCAACTAGGTTCTCTGAGTTGGTTCTCAATACAGCGTTGAGTACATTTGTCCTCGTGATGCTATTTTTAAGATCCATGTTCACAGACTCTGATCGGGAAAAATTAAAAATTGTTGTAAGGCATCAAAAAAAAAAAAAATCACATCATACTCCCCTCAATGGCAGAAGGGGAGTGTGCGTGTGTGAAGAGACGAGCATGAAATTCTAATGTTACACAAGTGTCTGAAATCAAAGGACCGCCACAGAAGTGTGAGAGAGACCGTTAAATGATGTCCGTTCCCATGGTCTAGAATTCAGATAACCTGTTTGTCTTCGGTTTTGTCCTGTTGGCCCATGATGGGCCCAAGGTCAGCAGGAAAGCTGCTCAAGCAAAGGCACCAACATCACTTTCCGGGAAGACGCCTGCTGTGTGGATTCTTTCTTCCAGAATACTCGAAAGTGTACCCTGCTTTCTCCCTTTTTTGAGAAAGACGGAGGGGAAAGGAGCTAAGTTTTCTGAACTGGTACCGGTAGAAGATGCTAACAGACTCCAGTGTGGCTGCGATTTTTGAAGTTCTTCCAAGACATCTTGTGCCTTCCTCTGTTCCCTCCCCTTCCTGCTGTTTTGCAGATAGACCCACTGGGGAATTGTGTGGCAGGAAGGCGTGATTCTATTTAGTTAGCCCTTGATTCCTGGTCTGTGCCGCACCTGGGTGCAGCCTGCAGCCCCGGGGGGTCAGGTAAGTGCACTAGGAAACAATGTCTTTAAATTCCGTTTCAGGCATCAGAGTCTGAAAACGGCTCTCACATTTCTGGTGTGTGACGATCCTGCTTAATTATTTACAAAATAGGCAGATTCTACAGAGCTATGGGTAGGCAAGGAGCAAGCTGGTCTCAAAATTCATTCTTGAGGAAGAGAGTGGACAGGAGATAAAAGCAGATTTTGAAGTTCTTCCGCGGGAACACTGCAAACTGGCTGGGAGGAGGGATGATGCTGTCGAAGAAATGGTAAGAGTAGCAGACTTCGAGGGAGCTTTCTAGAGAAGCTGGCAGATTCTTTGGCACAAACGGCAGTGTGTGCATTTTTATATTTATGACTATACTAATTTACAAGGCGTAGCTTAAAAATGAGCCCCTCCACGTATGTTGAAGAAGAAATACATGGAATGTACGATGGGGGTGTGGAAGAAAACGTACTCGATGGGGAAACATCTTGTGATGTTTAGATCCTTAAACTGTCGAATCTGGGAGGGATGTTAGGGCTTATTCCAGCCCTTGAATTCGAGGCACAGATGCAGAGGCTCAGAGGCTGGGAGACCCACTACAGCTCAGCTGGCCTCTGGCAGGTTTTTTAGTGAATGAAGTAACCTTTTATCAAGAAATTCAGTAGTGAGGGAGCCATCTAGGTCAAGCATAGGAGAAACAACCAGAAATTAGAAGTTAACTAAATAAGGACCTATGGGGGGGAAGGCGGGATGGAGGTTGTCTAACTCCAAAGCCCTTGCGGTCTGTGCGCGTCTGCCCCGAACCCTGTCGGTGTGTCAGGTTTATGAGATCACAGCAGAAGGCCAGGGTCTTTTGTCCCATGAACTTGACGTTCAGCAGAGGGATTGCCTCTGTTCTCTATGATTCACAGGCTTATATGGATCGGTCTGAGGCAGGGACTGTTTTCAGTTTTAATCTGTTGCCTGAAGGGCTGTAGATGGAGGGAGTGCTGGCTAGTCTGACCACTGGGCTGACTGCCCATGTCCACAAACCTCTCTCCCTTTGGATGAGTGCTCAAACCTTTGACAGCAGGAGCCTTGAGTTAGTGAAGATGTGGGCTTAGCAGCAGGGAAAAGAGACCCCAAATC